CAGCAGGTCTGGCAGCATCTGTGAAGGAAAAAACAGAGCTAACGTTTGGGTCCGGTGACCGAATGTTCTGAGGAAGGGTCACCAGGCCTGAAACGTTAACTCTGTTTTTTCCTTCACAGATGCTGCCAGACCTGCTGAGCTTTTCCAGCAACTTTGTTTTTGTTCCTGATTTACAGCATCCGCACTTCTTTCGGTTTTTAGCTTAGTTTGGGATTATGTTTGGCATGGATTGGTTGGACTGAAGGGTCTGTTTCTGTGCTATATGATCTACAACCTTCATAGCAAACTACATCATTGCTTTAAATAATGGGCTTGAACGTTACTCAGACAAATTGCTTTCTGATGACAAAGTAACTTTACGGTGAGAGTTAAGATGTAGTAAAGAAATAAACATTTAATTAGATTCACTACAGATCAGAAATAACTTATGTTTACTTATACAATGCTACAGGATGCTGATGATGTTGCCAGAAATAAAATTCTTCCTTAACATCCTCTCAGTTAAGGAAGGAACCAAAAAAGGCCAAACACTAGCCAGGATTTTCACTCCTAACCAACACAAAGTGATCTTTCTCTGCAGGGAGAAACATTCATCAATTAAAGGCATTCATTACCAAGCAGTTACAACAGTCAGAGGAGGAGACGAAAAGCATGCTCAAAAATTTGATTTAAAGTCACTTTGAAAGCAGAGAAAACAGCAGCGTGCAGCATTTAGTGAGGAAATTCCAGAGACATTAAGCCGGAGATGGCTGAAGGGAGTGAAATCAGAAGACTGAAAAGAATGAAGAAAGAATATATGCAAATGAGGCTGAAGATTCAAAACTCTCTCAACCACTCTTGTCTCCAAAAATTGTCAGACTGCTTGTCTGACATTCACAGCTGAGCAAGGATGACCCAGAATCCTCACACCCCACGAATGAGACTTGAACCCTGTATGAGCTCTCAACTACAAAAATGCATTAAGACCACATTTTTCCACCTCATCTCATCTGGAGCTTTAACTCCTCACCCATTCCTTTGTTACCTCTAAACTTGATTATTCCAATACAGTCTTGCTCA